TAACATAACACCCTGATGACATGTTCCAAATATGGGTGAAATCGGTTCACAACCACGCCTGAAATCTCGATTATCACTTTATCATGCGAGAGTATAAAATTTTCAGTGACACCCGAACTTAGCCCTTCCTTACCTRTTCARTATTATTTTCAACAACTAATATCTTCATTTCATTCGCTCACGATTATGAGGACAAATCGACCAATAATGATTTTAATAAAATAGACCGACTCATTTTACTTTGTGCAAAAACTTGCTTAACAACCTTYGGAAACATCAGTTGTTGCATTTTTGCTTGGTTAGAAAGCAACACTTGAGAAATGTTGAAATTTTTGCTTTGCAAATGAAATTTTTATTTTAATGTTAAAGCATTGGAAACTGTACGTCAAAATAATCTTTTTCTCCAYAAGTCACACAAAAATAATGCGCCAKTGATTGACACATAGGAAAAACGTAAGTTGAATGCTGAAAATTTAGCACTACTTCTTAGTTTTGCTAAATAAGAAATATATTAACAAGACTAATTGGTATCTTGCAAAGACTCGTTAATTAGTTGAAGACCGGAATCTAAGCTTACTTTACATAAGCCATCACTTTGCTCGCTTCTAAAAATAGCAGCAGTATCTACACCCGTGGACATATAAATAAATCCTAATCCAATAGTAATTCTAATTTCTTTAATCGTAAAGTGCATCGCTAAATCATAAAAATGTCTAATGTACCTATAGTGCTGAGTTGAAGTGGACACATAAATAGTACATTTTTAAGTTTTAATTTGAACTTTGGGCGAAAGTCTCGCGAGTTTTTGATKAAATTTTGCGAATCAATAATTATTTCGTCGATATTTCTTTAAAATGGGAACATTAAAACATTGGAGGCCGTAAAAGGGAGCGCTTATATGCAAAAGGAAAAGCTCTTGTTGAAATTGCTGAAATGATGCATTGCTCTCGAACATTGATATACAAAAAAGACCCATCTTGTGCCAACAAAAATATAACAAGATAAAACAAAAGCCGATCCTTTTAAGTCACTCAAAGAAATTATGATCGATGGAAAAGACGAATATAGTGTGGACGTGTCCAGAAAGCTTGTAGAAAGACAACTCAACAAAGCTCAATTTTCTGTACGAATTAGCAGGATGAAACCACTCCTGTCAAAACGCCACATCAAAATTCGGTTGACATTTCACAGATCCACAGACCCAAACCAGCTGGAATTGAGAAGTTTCGGTATTCAGCGAGGACGAGCAATCTTATGCTAGTTTTTAATCATTTTTATAAATTTGTGTACTTTTTTTTTGTAAACCCTTTTCAGATTGTGCTATTAATGTATACTAGCTGCCGTAGAGGATCCGTAAGTGATAAACTTAAGGAATAAATGGTTATTTATTTGATGACCAAAGGTTACCATGGCTGTAAATGGATCAACATATTCAATGTAATTTTGTTTTTAAAAATTTAGTTTTGAGCAAAACTTTAGGAGAATTCGTAGATAAATGTATTTGATATTAACCAGTTCATTTTGAGTTTTCTAAATTTGTATACATAAGTAACTGAACACGATAAAAGCTTACTAAGCGAGCTTTTGAAAGCTCTTCTTAACGTCTCGAATTTTTGGATAAGTTACATGAATGCTAACTTCCGGTTGATGTCTATTTGTGAAGACAAAGTATTTTCAAAAGCTCACTGATTATAATATATACATGTATATGTGTCTGTAAATACACCAAGTATATAAAAAAGCGTATAAACTTTATATATTCTGGCAACATGTTGACAATGGCGTACGTCTTTTGTTCACTAAATTAAAAAAAATTATTTGATTCCAAAGTTTCAAGTCTTCTCAATCGAAAAGTGGTTTTTATA